GATGGCCTCAAAGGGTCGTGGCGGGGAGGGCGTGGAGGCGGTGGGCACACGGGTGGATTACTGGGCACTCTGAGTCGCGTGCTGCGGAGGCGCCAGGCGCGCGCGGCCCATGGTGCGCAGCGGCGCTGCCCGCGCGACGCCGAGCCGTGGGTGTGGCGCGCACGAAACAGCGTAGGCCGTGGGCGGCGGCGCGCCTGCTGCTGGCTGCTGGGTGGGCTCACTGCCTAGGCTGAGATTTTCCAAGCAGAGCGTACTGCGTCGGACAGCGGCCGAGCTGCCGCAGCCGCTGTGGGGGCCTCATGGATGGGTGACAAGTTGTGCGGCATGAAAGGATTACCTGACGGTGCTTGGCGCGGCCGGCGCGCTGTAATCTCATAATCTGCCAGCTTCATCATGCGCCGTCAGAGCGCAAGCTCAGGCACACCTCGTCAGCGGCGGCTTTGCGATCGCACGCCAAGGTGCCCCAAGCCAGAAGCCAAGGTCGTATCAGCATTGTGAGTTCGTACGTGTTCTACTGTATCGAGGGGGCCGAGTGCAAGAGGCTCGCAGCTAGTGTCGGTCCATGGTGTGGGTGACACAACAGCGCCGTTTCGACATCAATGTAAAAGTCGCCTCTTGTCTTGTGCCTACGACTTCCGTTTCACTTCGCTTGCGAAGGCGCGTCGAGTGACACAAGTTCTGACAGTGTCGAGCACGTGCGCACCAGTTCTTCACTTTGGGAGCTCCACTACTCCGCAACGGCGCACAAACCACTCAAGGGTTGATTCACAGCTACTACAGAGCATCATGGGGGTCGAAGGAGTCGAGCCAGTGGCACCAAAGCCCGGCATGTTTGCCAAGCTGGACGCAGCCGTGGAGAAGAGCATCGTGAGAAGAGCATCGTGCCTCACGTCTGCCCTGTGCCCGGTTTCGCCTGGCAACACTGCAGACCCACCTGCCACCCCGAGGCCGCGGACGATGTGCCTGGTCCCAAGCCTCCATGCTGGGCCGCCGTGCTTGCGCTGCCGCACCCCCGCCCCCACCCCGCCTCAGCCGCACGCCCGGACTGGCCCCTACATTCCCTGCAACAGGTCGGGAAGTATTTTGCTGTCACAGCACGCAAGACCACCTTCTCCACGGAGATGCGCGCCGGCGTGGTCACTTTCCTCACAGCCTGTGAGTCGGGGCCGGCTGACAACTCGAGACCCGCCGGCGGCCGGCGGACGCCCCCAGCACTGGGGCAGCAGGGGTGCCTGCCGTCAGGCATCCCCCCTCAGCCTGAGCGTGGCGTTAAACGCGCCTCATCATCACGAATTCCTCGCAATCCGGCCCGCAATGACCCTGTGTGCCCCCAAGGGGCCCCCCACCCGCCCAAGCATGCTGAGCGCGCGCGGTGCGGCCCACCCCCGCACAACGTCCCGGCGCCCGCCGCCTCGGGCGCCACCGCCGCCTTGTCAGCACCACCCCTTTGCCTGTCGCTCGCGTCCCCTGGCTTATGCTCCTGCCTTAGTGACGGCAACCCTGCACTGTTCCGCACCACATCCCCCCTCCAGGCTACATTCTGGCGGTCAACAGCGCGATCCTGGCGGACACCGGCGGCCCCTGCACTATCAACGACTGCACCAACCCCAAGCCGGGCTGCCAGTTTGCTGACGACCCCGGCTATGAGGCCTGCGTGGTGGGTGACTGTTTCTTGCGCCCCTCGTTTCTGTGGCCACGCTGGCGTGCAGAGGGGGTTCGCGGACGCGTCGGTGCGATTGGCCGACGGATTGTGAGGCTTAAAAGTTTCTGGGCCGACGAGCAGGGGCGGGCGTGGGCCTGCTCCACGTAGGGTGGTGCTGTACCCGCCGAAAAGGGGTCCCGCTGGTCATTTTCCCCCTGGCGCGAGTGCGCTGACGGCTGCCCCGCCGCGCCGCCCCGCAGGTCGCCACCCGCAAGTCCCTCGTGACCGCCACCGCCGCCACCGCGGCGATGGCCACTTTTCTGATGGGCTCGATTGCCAACCTCCCCTTCGCAATCATGCCCGGTGGGTGCTGACCTGGCGCCGCTGACCTGGCACCGCTGACCTGGCAGGGGGCGAGCGCCGCCTTGAATTGTGGGCGGCGGACGCGTCCGTGGGCTTGCAAGGCTGGCACGTTCGGTGCTCAAATGGGGTGCATACGATCCGTCAGCAGGGCATTCGCCCTGCTGGGGTGCCCCGGCGGCCTCAACACGCACGCGGGCCGCGGTAGCAGCGCTTGCGGCCCACAAGCTTGCCGTGTGTTGCAGTGGCCAAGCGAGCACCTCCAGAATGCCGATTGCGAGCAGCAGCAGCACACAGTTGCCTCCGACTGTGGGGGCCCGCTGGGCTAGCAGACGAGCCCGCAAACCTCGCGCGGCGCCGGGGTCGCAGGCATGGGCGTGAACGCGTACTTTGCCTACACGGTTGTGGGCTTCCGGGGGACCGGGATGATCACATACCAGGAGGCTCTCGCGGCAGTGTTCATCGAGGGTGAGCTTGTGTCCTGAATAGTGCGGTGTGCACATAGGATCAGCGCACCGACGAAGTCATTGGAAGTGCTTATGACTGCCCTGCATGAGGGTGTGGGTGTGGGTGCGTGGTTGCTCTGTCGAGCGCGTGGGCCGAGCAGTGCAGTCAGGGGTGGGTGGAATGTGAGGCGCTTTCACGACGGGTGGCGCATGTGGGATTCGTAGCAACGGGCGGCGGATGGGGCAGCGGCTGGCCAGGAGAGTCGTGGGAAGTGGGGGGTGCTGCGAATTGAGGGAGTGGCGTGGGGTCACCCACGGCCGCCAAGGCGTTATCGGTGTGCACACACGCACAAGGCAACGCGACTTCGGGTCGCAAACGGCTGGCCAGGCCGGCGACAGCTTTCGGCTCACTGCAGCACTGGAGCCCGCCACCGAGCCACTGGGAGGGTGGTGCGGCTGCCGTCCGGGCAGCAAACTGCGCCAAACCCGCTCAAGCTGACTCTCCTCCCGGCCCGGCGACCCCGCAGGCTGGATCTTTGTTCTGCTCTCCGTGTCCGGCCTCCGCTCGGGCCTGCTGTCGCTGGTGCCGCGCGCGACGATGCTCGCCACCGCCGGCGGCATCGGGCTCTTCCTGGCCTTTATCGGGTGCGCTTTGCCCGCAAACCAAGGTGGCTGCATGAGTGGCCCGCGCGCGTGCGCCGCGCGCGCATGCGATCGGCGGCGCCGGCGAGGCCGCTGCAGCACACTAAGCGCGCTCAGCAGGAATTGCGCGATGCGCCCGGAGCCCTTCCCTTCACTCGCCTCGCGCGGCAAGGCGGAGAGCAGGCATCTCAAGGCGCGGCCTGCTCCCCGCCTCTCCATCTTCGCCTCTGTGCCGCCGCACCCCCCTAAAACCCTCCCCCCGTCTCGCGCCCTCCCCACCCAATCTACATAGGCTCCAAAAGTCCGAGGGCCTCGGCGTGGTGGTCGCTGACCCCGCCGTCCTCGTCACCCTCGGCGGCTGCCCCCACGCCAACCAGGTCCATATGTACGCGATCGCCGACCCCTCCCCTGCGGCCGTCTGCTCGGTGGGTGGCCGCGGGCGCAAAGGGGGATGCGGCGGCGGCGGCGGTGGCGGCGGCGGCTGCTCGCGCGCTTGTGGTGGCGGGGCTGCCGAGGGGCAAGGCTCGGGGTTCTGCTGAGAGTCGCCAGAGGCTGGCTTGTGGCGTGTGCGGTTCGCGGTCGGCTTTTATGCCCCTGCCTCAACTGGTCGACCTTGAGACCTTTGAACAACTCCTGTCTTGCGGACGCCCTCATGTGACGCACCAGGTGGACCCCAAGACTGGCGCTCTGGCCGCAAACCTGGGCCCTGCGGGCGCCAACTACATGTGCAAGGGCGGCAAGATGTGAGTCTAATCAAACACTTGACACACATACGCATAGATGCGACGCCTGGCGCACATGCACAAACACACACATGCACGCACGCACGCACGCCACGCACACGCACGCACGCACACACACTTGCTCACATGCACACACGAACACTGACTCACACGCACCAACACGTCAGTAGCACGCTGATGTGGCCCTTGCAGCATTCGGGCGACCGCCTTGGTGAACCCCCCCCTGCACCCATCGCAGTCCTAAAGCCCGGCGCCGCTCCCAGCACTTCCCGCCACCCAGCAACCTTGCGATTCGCCCACTTTGCTGGGAGTCCCCCTGCCCTCAACCCGAGCCGCACTACCCAAGTATTCCGACGCCCCTCACCTCCACCGCACACGACCAACGGCCCCGACCCCCAGGAAATCCCCGACCATGTGGCTCGGTGTGGCGGGCTTCACTGTCATCGTGGTGCTGATGTCACGCCGCGTCAACGGCGCCATCATGCTGGGCATTCTTTTCACCACCTTCATCTCCTGGATCCCCGGCCACGGCGCGTCCTACCTCGGCTCTGACACCGACATACCAGGTGTGTGCGGGACGGAGGGCGTCCTGACATGGCGCTCAGGGTGTACCCTGCCTTGGGCACGATTTTGGAGGCTGGTGACCTTGACAGCGCACTCAGGGAGTCCCAGCTCGCCCCCAGCTGCATCGGGACGGCGCTCGAAGGCCGCGGCTGCTGCCTCTCGCCCCAGTGGCGCCCGGTGCTGATGGTTGCGTTGCTCGACGCTCCGCATGGACTGAAATCATCATGCAGGTGGCGAAGACCGGCTGGAGACGTTCAGGCATGTCGTGTCGGTGCCCAACGCTGCGAAAACGTCGCTCACCTGGTCCTTTGGCGCCTTCACCAACTCACACCTCTGGGTGAGCGCCGCAACCTCGCGTGCCCCAAAGCCGCCTTGCTCGGCTCTGCAGCCCCCTCCACAATCTACCAGAGCACTGCGCTCCTGTTCACATGTGTGTACCCCTTGAGCCAAGATCCTGGGCCTTTGCAGCCTGCCATCCGCGCCTCGCGGCCTCAATTGGCTCCGAGTCACCCGCAAACGCGGCACGTCACCCGTCGGCCACCTGCCGCCCCGTCACCCGAAGGTGGCCCTGGTGACCTTCCTGTACCTCGACTTCCTGGACGCCACGGGCACCATGTACTCCATGGCTTCCACCATTGACAAGGAACTTCCCGGTGGGCTGTTGGTCACATCGTGGCGCCAGAGTAGTGTGGTGTTGTCAATAGAGGATGGCAGCAGAGTCAGGGAGCTCTCCTGCTGTTGCCTTTATTTATTGTTGCGTGTTCTTGCTCGTGGCAATCAGTGGCAACCCTGTGGGTGGGTGCCTGCCCGTCCACGACCCGCAAAGCGCAGCAATTGCTTGAGAACCGCTTATGCGGTGTCCCCTGGGGTCACGCATGACCCGCTGCACGCAGCCCGCTGCGTGCGCTAGCACGTGCCCCGCGCGCCTGCCCTGCTACAGATCGCGCCTCTCCCCGCTCTTATCCCTCCTCCTTTCACCCCTCTCCACATGGTCCCGCCCCCAGGCTTCATCAACCAGAAGGATAAGTCTTTCCCCCGCTCGATCTTCGCCTTTACCCTCGACGGCATCGGCATCGTCATCGGTGAGACGCCCCCAAAACCCTAGCCTACCAGCCACACCCAGCGCAGCCGCGCAGGCGGCTGCTGGTGACCGGCTGGGTGCTTTGCCCCTCACTCGGGGCGCGCAACCACCCGCAGCAGCGTGTATGGCACTCCGTTCACTGTCACACTGGACATGACACCAATCTTGATTTATCCTCAAGCTGGTGGCTCCAGGCTTGAACCCCAGATCCACGAGCGGGCAGCGGGCAGCTTGCAAGCTGTGCACAGCTCGTCAGCACCCCCCCTGCCTGACCGTCCCTCTCCCTCGGCCGCACACCGCCGGGAACCCAAAACACACCTCTTCGCAGGCTCCCTCCTGGGCTGCGCGCCGCTGACCGTCTGCCTCGAGTCTGCCGCCGGCATCAGGGAGGGCGGGCGCACCGGGCTGACCGCGCTGTCCACCGCGTTCTGCTTCTTCATTTCGCTGTTCTTCACGCCCCTCATCGTGTCGATCCCGCCTTACGCGACCGGCGGGGCGCTGATCATCGTCGGCGCGCTGATGATGGAGGTGCGTGTGTGTGTGTGTGTGTGTGTGTGTGTGCATGCGTGCACGCGTGCGTGTGCGCAAGCGTATGCTCTCGAGCCTGCGTACGCTTGTGCGTGTGCTTGCGCGGTGTGAGCATGCGTGTGCTGGAGGGAGCAGGAAGTTTGTTGGCTGCGCGTGTAGCTGTGTGGACATGTTGCCGATCATTGTGGGCACAAGGCTGCGCCTGAAGTTAGTGCATGCTATTCGAATCTCACGAATTACAATGTGCAGTCTTTGCATCCGTGCCTGAAATGGCTGCACGTTTGGCACTCCCCCCCATCCGCCCCTCAATCAAAACCTTCTCGCTGCCCTGCTCGCTGTTGCAATTGCCCATAATGACATCTGATGACATCACCCAGAATATCGTCGACATCGACTGGTCGGATATCGGCCAGGCGGTGCCTGCCTTCCTCACCATTGCCATCATGCCCCTGGTGCGTTGCTTAGTCAGAGGCTGCCTGGGTTCTTGGGGTGTTGGGCAACTACCGGGCCTCGAGGGGCAACCACCGGGCCTCGAGAGGAGATAAAATTGGCCCCGCCCATTCGCCTTGGTGACTTGCAGCCGCCATGCCACGTGTGGCAGCCCCTTTCCAACCTGCATACCCACGCGCGGCCCTCGAAATCACCCCAACTCTCCAGACCTACTCGGTGGCCTACGGCGTTATCGCTGGCCTCTGCGCATCCATCGTCATCTCGGTGAGTCATCATTGAACATGACGCGCCAGGATCACCTTGATGGAGAACGCCTCGTTCCCGCGCCTCCCGATCACCCAGGGCCCGACTAACACACACGGCCGCCTGGCTGTTGGCCTTGCGCGTCCCTCCTTCCTCCGCAAAGGCTCTGCCCAAACTGTGCCCCGCTCACTTTGCCCACCCAATGCGCCGATTTTTGCAGCTCATTAACCTCACATTGGACGTCTCCGGCGCCCTCGTCTCCCGCAAGCCTGTCAAGGTGCGGCGGGCTCAATCCGCAAATGCATGCCAATTTGTGTGTGGCCCTACAGGGGCAGCGAAGCGGCGCTGTTGGGAGCAGCGAATGCCTTCTTGAACTTCATCGTGACGCCGGTGCCCATGTTGCCCAGGCACACACTCATTGCACAGTCGCAAAAGTATCAGCTGTCAGCGCGGGGACGCTGGATGCGATTATCGCGCCGCGCACGGCCTCGCACGCGGCCCAGCAGGAGCGCCTTGACCCCCTGATCATGGCCCTTGGGCACGATGCGCGCCCTTGCCACTGAAACCACCTGCTCCCACAACTGGACCTCAAAACACATTCTCTTACTGTCACCCCCATCACCCTTCACGCTCCCCGGGGCCGTGTCTCCAGGACGCTGTGCTGCCCTATGTGCCCGGGATCATCCTGGGCCGATTCGCCAACGTGCGGCCCCTCAAGAGCGCCAGCGGCATCCTGCAGGAGCACGTGGACCCAGGTGAGCCCACCTGCTTGAGATTGAGGTGCCAAGGCGGGATGAGCGGTGCCAACGCGTTCCAAGACGTGTAGAAGACGCGTCTTCAAGACGTGAACACACACACATACACACACACACACACACACACACACACACACACACACACACACACACACACACACATCTCACTGATGCACATCACTTACACACACACACACACACGCACACACACACACACATCTCACTGATGCACATCACTCACACGCACACGCACACGAACGCACAGAGCACGAGCGCCATTACGAGGAGGTGTCCAAGCGCGCCTACTCGGAGGGGCGCCCCGACGCCAAGATCTACGAATCTGACAAAAACAACGCAGATCTCCCCAAGTAAAGAGATCTGCGCCGCCGGCTGCACAGCTGGCTGGTGTTTGCGGGCTTGGAGGCGCCGGGTCTGCCGGGGTCCCACAGGAGGGTTGAGGCCGCGGCACAACCCTGCGCTACCTCGCCCACGGAGGCCCTATGAAAGTCACCCGCCGCGCTGTGGCGCCAACAGGCGCGACGGCAAAGGCTTGGGATTGTGGCGGGGTGTGCACTTGCTTGTATAAGAAAGCTGTGCATCTCAGCAGGCTGCCGCCAGGCGGTGTCCACTGCTAGCACGGGCCCAACCATGTGCGGCGCCCTTGCCACCCCTGCCACTCACAAACGATTTGTGCATCTGTGATGACGTCAGGGGCACACACTAAGGCACGTCATTGCCAAGGAGTGAGTCGCCAGACAGGGGACGGGCAGTGTCCTAGGCCCTGGGCTGCATACGCAGCAATATCAACTACCGATTTTTGATCACACACACACGCATACGCGCGGACCCACGTGCTCACACACACTCCCCAAATGGGCCCTTGCTTGCCAAATGTTGTCACAACAAGCTGTGTTGTTCTTCCCATGTGCATGCAAGGAGCGACGTGTGCATGCAAGGAGCGACGTGCTTGCTCCTTTCGCACACGCGCACGTGTGGATGCAGCTGCACTGCACTGCACTGCAGGCCCCGCCTTGCCATTTACAACAACCCCAGGCATACCCGCCCTGGCGCGTGCACGGGTTGTCTATCCGCGTGCACGGGTTGTCTATGCCTGCACACGCGCTTGCGTGCGAGGCCGCTCTGCGCCAAAGGGCTCTTTATCGTGGGTCCGCTGGGTCAGGGCGTGCCGGCGCAACCTCGGCGCGCTGCGTGGGGGCAGCCCTCGTTGGCGGGCTGAACTCGGACGCGGGTTGCGAGGGGGGTGGAGGGCTGAGCGACACCCCTACAAGCCAGGGCTAAACCGCCCTTTTATTTGTCCAGTATTTGTCCAGTGAACTGAGGGGAGCACCCAGCCGCCCTGCGGCCGTGTGCACCTTTAGGGAAGGATTTTTGTTGTTGGTTTGAGCTCACAAGGGTAGCTGGCGCGTGCCACGTGCCGCTGGCACCCCATGCGCAAGTCCCATGTGAAGCGTGCTGCCATCATCACCATCATCACCATCAGCATCATCGTGCCCCTCCCTTAGCATGCATGGGCTATGCACGGCAGGCCCTACCTGCGGGCTTGGTGCGTGCACACACAGACGCACGCATGCGTGCGATGGGCTCGGCAGGATCGTGCCATCCAGACCTGCTGCCTCCCGGCAAATGCAGAGAGTGCGGTCCAGTCTGCTGCCGTCAGCGTGCATCCATGGCTTGCTGGCGTGGGGATTCGTGCCGCAGGCCAGGCAAGGGGTGGGGTGCGCCTCGGCGCAGGCTACGTCTGTATGTGTACGAAAAAGGTCAAAGCCGCGCATGGCGTGGGCCCTCACAGGCTCAAACACATTTGATGGAACCGTTCTGATCTTGTACTGTAACACGCATGATGTGCATACGACATGGGCAGATGGAGTGTATGCCGAGCATGCCGTCTGTCAGTATACAGCCCCGCAAGGGTGTGGTGGACGTACGTCTGAGCTGGTATGAGATTGAGCCATGTGGATGCTGTGCGCGATGGAAGCTGTACAAGGCTTACAGGGTAGTCAGCCCAAGCTGTACAAGGTTTGAGGGTAGTGAGCCCAAGCAAGTACAATCTGAAACAGTTTGACTGACCGGAAGCTTTTAGAACCGCATTCACGCAAGCACTGACACGCACAGGCAGACGGCGGAGTGGAGGTGGAGAGAGCAAGAGCAGAAGCCAGCAAGTCGGCAAGCAGGCGCCTCGGTCGCACATGATAGACAGTGTCAGGTCTGTGTCACAAGCACGTGATCGAGTCAATATATTCGTATAGTTGATCAAACATTCATTTCAACTGACTTGTATAGCACACAGCTGGACTTAGTGTCTGCGAACCCGCCAGAACTGCTCGAAGGGCACCCGGGGCGTGTGCGCTGTTGTAAGGGGTACTCGAAGCCATAATCAGAAAAGAATTACGGGAAAAATCTCAGGACCTCGCGATGGAGGGCCCACGAGCCAAGTGGACATGCCCGACCTCTCCAGTGAAGCGAGACGCCTTCCTGGTGAGCTCGCGACGGGATAAAACCGTGTTGATAAGTACACTTTTAGATTTAGCACCGTTCGAAGGCAGCAACCCTGGCGCCACACGCGCGAGGCGTCGCCATGCGGGCGCTCATCCACATCTGCGTTGTCTCCTCCCCGACACCCCTTACAGGACCCTCTGCAAGAGGTTCTCGCACCTAGGGGCCGGCAATCAGGCAAAGAAGGCCCTGCAAGCAGGTCCTATGCAGACCTGCATGGCGCCCCAGCCAAGGCCGCCGCGCGGCAGCAGCTGCCGCTGCAGCAGCTGGCCCCTCGACAGCCGCCCGGCAAGCGCGGCGTCAGCGCCGGCGGGCGCCCGCAGCGCGCCGGCGGGGGGCTGAAGGCCGGGAGACCTGCGACCGCTGTGCAGAGGGCTATGGCTGAGAGCGAGGGCGGGCAGCCTAGCGACATCCGGCAGCACCAACAGCAGCACTATCAGCAGCACAAGCAGCAGCAGCAAACGACTCCGACTATGCTGGTTCAGGGCCAAGCCGCTCCATTGCACGCACGAGGGCAGCCGCCGCCGCTACCGATGAGCGACCAGCAGCAGCAGTGGCAGCACAACCAGCAGCAGCAGCTGCACCAGCTGCAGCAGCAGTGGAAGCAACACCAGCAGAATGCGCCCGGCCCTCCGCATCCTCTGAGCCACCCCCAACAGCAGCAGCAGCAGCAGCAGCAGCAGCAGCAGCCCCAGGTGCAGCAGGGTGCGTCGCCAATCAGCCCCCACGACGGCGCGGCCGCGGCCATGATGGGCGCATGGAGCCAAACGCGGATCATGGCAGCCTACGTACAGCACATGCAGGCGCTCCAAGCAACCGGCGGCAGCCCCCCAGCCGCCCTTGCAAATGGCACATATGCCGCCAACGGCACCTATGCCGCCGCGGGTACGACTTTCGGCGCGGCCGCGACGGCAGCCCCACAATGGCACGGGCTTGGGTGCGGCGTGTCGGGCGGCGGGGCCCTGGACTGGGGGGCTCTTGCACGGCAGGGGTCTGCGGCTCTGGGGTCCCCCGGCAGGTGCGAGGGGTTGGGGAGGGGTGCGCTCGAGCTGCAATTGCGCAGTCGGCTGATGAGACACCAGGCAGGGGAATGGCGGGGATGGAGTGCGGCTGGGGGTGCAGCACACGCAAGACTTGCAGGTCGAGCCACACACGGCGTCCTGGCCCGCTTTGCTGAAGCCTTCTCGGCTTACAAGCTGGTATGTGTGTCTTCCCCCCTTTCAAACACACACAACCGCCGTGTTGCAGGTTTGGAGACCTCATGCAGCTGCTGCCTCAGCCGCGTTTCCAGCACCAGCAGCAGTGGCGGCAGCAGCAGCAGCACCACGAGCCGCCCCACTGGGGGCCAGGCAGCCCAGTCCACCGCCAGGGCTCTGTCGCTGCTGCTGGCGGCAGCCCGCTGCTCCGCCATGGCTCGCAGCAGCCGGCGGCATGGCGGCAGGGCTCGAGTGCGGCGATGCAGCAGCACCACCCGCAGGTGCAGCCGGCATGGCGGCAGGGATCCAACATGGCTGTGGCATTGCAGCAGCAGCAGCAGCAGCAGCAGCAGCAGCAGCAGCAGCAGCAGCAGCAGCAGCAGCAGCAGCAGCAGCAGCAGCAGCAGCGGCAGCACGCATGGCGCCAGGGCTCCAGCTTGCCGCCAGGGGCCACATTGTACCATCAGGGCTCCGGCGTGCCGTTTGGTGTGGATCCGGTGCGCGCGGCGTACGAGCAGCACCGCAACCCATTTTCTGGCTATTGGCATTCCCCAGACGCGGCCGGCGCAAAGGCGGCGGCTGCAGCGCCACAAGGGGGCAGGGCCTCAGCGGGCGGCGCCGTGCCTTGGTCGCCGGAGGGGGCCGACGGCGGCCGCCGCGCGTCATCTTGCGGCGGCGCCCGCGGCCCGGCCCCGCGCCGCACGCTGTCGCCGCACGCGGCTGCCTGGGTGCCCATGACTGCCTCTGTCGGCTCCCCAATATCGCCCTTGCAGCAGCACTCCCCCGCCGTGGCGCCGCCGGCCGCGGCGTCGTTGCCGGTGCTGCTGCGTGGCGCCAGCGGGGGCGGCTACTTCCTGCAGGCCCCGCCCCCGCCGCCCTCGAGCCACTGGGACCGGCAGCCGCCGCCGCCGCCGCCGCCCTGCTCGCCGCCCCTCTGCGGCGGCGGGCTGGCCCGCGCCATCAGCAGCCCCGAGGCGGCGCTTGCCGCGGCGCGGCGCCCCGCCGCCCACGCCCACCACGCTCCCTCGCGGCTCGGCGCCGCGGCGGCCGCGGGCTGCGGACCCGACGGTGCGGCCGCGCCGCACCCGCTGCCGCAGCTGCCGCGCCTGCAGCTGCGGGCGCGGGAGGCGGAGGGGTGGGCGCTGCAGAGCCACCCCATCAGTGCTTGCAGCGCTGACGAGAGCCCGGCATATTACCCTGCATTGCATTTGGGGCAGCACCACGTCGACCACCACCAGCACCAGCCGCAGCCACACCCCCACGCGCAGCGCGCGTCGGATGCCCCCAGCCTGCGCCGCGCGGCGACCGCGGCGGCGGCCATGGTGGCCGCGGCGGCCGCGGCCGCGGCCCGGAGCAGCGGCGGCGGCAGCGCCA